TCCTGATGTTCAAGATAATAAACACCCCTAATCACCCTTTAAAACATTTGTTCACAGTTAATTTGGCCCGACAGACCCGACGGAATCCATTGGCCGTTGACATTCCATGTTCCCTCATTAACTGTCGGCGCTACTTTTTTTCAGTCCGCGTATCCCTCACGTGGAACAAACTACCAACATCTGTTGTGGATTGTGGTAACCTCGAGACTTTCAAACATTCGCTTGACGAATACATAAGATCTCACCCAACTTCCCTCATCAACATTTGAGATGCAGATTACAAACAATAGAACATATATGTCATATCATTCCGTTTATCTGTATACATACACACACACCAATATCCTTTGGTCACTGTAAAGCAAAATGCTTTTTAGACCAATATAACCTTGATTTATCACAATTGTTCCCAGAAATGTAAACTGTTTATATACTACTCGTGAAATTTTAGTAGCTAAACTAATTACCTAATTGTCTGCAGAGGGTGTTGAGCTACAAACATCTGGCGTGCGTTGGACACCTGATTTCAATTTTTGTTTAATTACCGAGCACAATGATTCCTCATTCATATATTTACTGCTGAATTAATGTATTTTTAAATTATACCAGTGATCTGTTGATGAAAATGCTCCGAAATTGGTGTAATTTATTGCGCTAGTTTAATTCTCTGTCTTTATCACCACACGTGAAATAGACCATAAATTAGTTAGAATTTTGCGCAATACACTCATTTCCAACTAAGTTTGGCTTTGCGGGAGACTCACCTGGGATCCAGCCGAATATCTAGTTTATTATTTTTCCATGTAACTGAATGCGCTGTGCCAGGCCGCCTCATGTTTCAGTCGCTACGATATTCGAGATACGCCATACCTGTATATTCGTAATGCTCTACTCATAAGTTCGCTGAAAATTCTTAAACAGCCATAACCGGTTTCGCCCTTCTTTGGGCTCATCAGGCAGCCGCAATCCACGAGTTGGAGTCAACGAGAGATTTAACTGGGTTCCAGATGAGTCTCTCACAAAACCAAGTTTGTTTGCTACTTAGCGTACTTCACTGATCGCAAGCAATTTGGTTTCAATTAGAACATAAGGTTGATGTAAAATTGGGGACCGCGCCTACTTGATGAGCCCCAAGGAGGGCAAAACCACTTGCCAGAGGTAAGTAATCAGGGGACTGTGCTTTGAAAATGGCGTGCTTTTATCCTGGAATTCTGCTTCACAATTTCACATTGGAGTTAACTCCATTCCGGTTTTGCATTTCTTGTGGCACATCAGGTAGGCACACTCGCTGAGTTTCCCTCCAGTAAAATATGCGACGGCCTTCGTGCTGCACATTTGGTTTAGGAATATCATAAACGAGCGATTGAGCTGAGACTCAGGTACATCTCCATTGAAAACCAAATAAGTGTAAAAATGAGTGTATTTGCCTAATTTGGTGCAGTTTGGCTTCAAGTGGAAAATAGGGCTGACTGCGTCTACGTACTGAGCCTCAAGATGAGCTGAACCGGTCGCGAGCTGTTGAAGAGTTCTGGTAGTTTTATGAGTAGTGCGACTCAACTTTTGTCCTAATGCGTATTACTCGTGGGAAGAATTTGTGTAAGAAACGCTTTCCAAGCACTTCCAGAGGGAAAGGATTAGGTCTACATGTTTTATAGTCACATAGGCGTTGATAAGTCAACGATCCACATCAAAATGGAGATCAGTTGCCTGAAAACAACCTAGATGGCAGCACGATCTGAAGTGAGACACAGGATGTGCGGTGATATGGTAACTGGTACCATTTTCAAACTTCTATCCCAAACCAGTAACCCTGAAAAACTTAATCAAGATAGTGTCGGTGTTTTCAAGCCATTTGCTATAGTTGCTGCCTGTCGAGAGCGAATTCTTACGGTAGGTGCATTCGTTTTCAGGCTTAATTCCGGAGTGATTTTCCGCCTCATATTTAGGGACTAGTGGACATTTTATCAACTAATATGCGATCGTCTGGAAAGTCTTTAGTGTCCACGTGATGGCTGCGGGATAGCACATATTACAAAATGCAAATGTGGACTCCTACTCACAAAACAACAACAGATGGAATGCAAGCGCACCTGCCTTTTAATGATGTACCTTTGCTTGTCCGCTAAATGCTGTGGTCCACCATGTTGCGCCTCACCTGACAGAAACACCAAAGCCGTACGACTGTTGTTTTGTGATTATATCAGTGGTTGCAGCAGTCGATTTGGCTTTAGCTGATAGAACGAGGAGATTTTCAAAGTCCAGTCGAGATCTGATCCTGCGGGTAAAATTCGAGAAGTTGAGGAGTATTGTACAGCCGTTTGATTCTTTTTAAGTATCATCAGTAGTGCACATCTGATGAACCTCTAGCTTCCTCCCTACCAGTAGTTTAAGCGCTTGACCGTTTGGTCACGAGCAGCTGATCACCAGTCACTTACTCAATTACTACTGTCAAAAAATTAGTAGTAGCACAGAAGGACGAGTAACACAAGAGTTGTGCAAACCTCTCATTTGAGAAGTCGTCATTAGAGGAGGTAGGGAACACGCGACCACGTGATGTGAATCCCGCGATTGACGGATGACTGAGAACATGCCTTGTCTAAGCATGAGCTAATAGCACTGCTATTCAGCCGCTCATGGCCAGACCGTTAAGTGTCCAACGGGGGGGTGTTGGATTGGAGAACGCCTGAGAGATGTGCACTGGTGATGATATCCATTAAGGACGAAACAATTGTTCAGTGCTTCTTGGCTTTTCAGAATAGACCGGTATGACTTATAGAATGAAAATTGATCAACTTGTAAACTAATTTGGTTTCTCGAGGGACTGGAACACAGCTGAATCTCTCGTTTGTGATGTTTGGAGAAAACTAAATGTGCTGCACCAGACCGCCTCATGTTTCAGTCGCTACGATATTCGAGATATCGCGATGAATGTATATTAGTAATGCATTACTCATAAGGCTGCTGAAAATTCATCGACAGCCCACGACCGGTTCCACCCTTCTTGGGACTCATCAGGTAGGTGCAGTCCCCGAGTTTCAGCCAACCTTATTTTCTACTTGAAACCAAATTGCACGAAATTAGCGAATATACACTTATTTGCAAACCAATTTTATTTTGCGAGAGACTCACCTGGAACCCAGCTGATCAACTTGTTTCCGTTACAGGTGATTGCACAAGATGGAACTAAAACCGAATCTGCCTAGGCTGACCCAAAACTGTTTCATTAACGGTACACATTTCAGGGGCCTCGCAAAACTAGTATACCACAGTAATCTGCATTATACTCGACATATTTCTCTCGGCTGAATTCCCATTCTGGTAACAATCATCTAGTATGGGTATGTCAACGGGCCCTACACGCTGCATTTCAGCGAACACATTTAGCTTACAAATAGGCTCGAACAAACTCACGAAATGGTTTTGGGATTCATATCCTCACCCCAGTGATCCTTTGGCAGTGTGGTTATTTTCTACACGTGCTGTTAACCTTCCCATTCCTCATCGTCAATGACCTTTCCATTTCAATTTCAGCATCATGACATAATCCTCTCACGAATTCTTACTTTCCTCATAATGAAACAGTCTTCACTGAATCACGGTTCCCTTGTTCAGGGTCGGTTGTGCCACAAAGCGTTATAATGGAGCTTGCATCCGTATGCATTCTTCTAACACTGTGTTGTAGTTCCGGGACGACGTTTGAAGATTTTTTCATTGCACAGTCAGCCGATATTAGTGTAGTTCCGCATTCCAAGCACTCACCGTCCTTCCTGTCTAGGTGTGGGCACCCTGGCAGTATCCCAGCCTTCGGTCAAACCATACATTCACAACTAACAATACTATCATGTCACGTCGACCGTCGCTTGGTGCCATCAGCCGGGTCGCCTTCCTTGCTGCATACAGCAGAATGGATAAGTGAGAACAGGCTACTGCTGACGCCTCCCTTCTTTCTCGTTCACATACTTTTTCGTCCCCCTCGTCCCACCTTATTAATAACTCTCTCCTTGTAGGCCCAGCACTTGGGATTGATGACTCCGTTCGTCATGCATCGTTTTTGCGTGAAGCGTCTGCTCGTCGCATGGCGCCGACATCCTCAGGTATCTCAAAATTACACTTCCAGCCTCGACACCCAGTCTATCTGGCCGCGTTCAATGATCATGATGATGATGACGGTGATGATGATGATGATGATGATGATGATGATGATGATGATGATGATGATGATGATGATGATGATGATGATGATGATGATGATGATGATGATCCACGAATGTTCCGAGAACACTTTTCATCATCCAGTTTGGTTTTCTCTCAGGAAACGCCTTATATTCCTTTTTTTGCATTGCTTATTGACAAAGACGATAGCTCTGATTCTGATTTTCTGGCTACACTGAAAATTGTCCAGTTGAACAGTTTGCATAAACCAAGTGGAATCTGATTTACACACTGAACAGAAACTTAGCTTTGGGAAGGATATTTGGGAGGATATTATTGGTAACTCAGGTAGCGCAGATGGTCGTTAGCGTGTTCGCTGTGCTGGGCAACTCAGTGAACAAGCCAACGACTAAGGTCTAACTTCTTAGGCACCATAGTTCTAGTTTCATCTGCCGGATAGTGTTAATCCAATGGGGTAGTGCCAACTTCAACTCAGAGGTCTCCATATTCGCGGCTAACAAGCAATCAGAGTGGCTAGCTTACCGAAACACGTTGTCCAATCTGCTTTCAAGTGTGTGTAAGCTCAGCCCTCAACAGTGGTTTGTGTGAATCTACAAGGTAAAACTTGGAGTTTTTGTCATAAATCGGCTGTACTCATCCATGTTATCTCTACTCTTAATGCTAACTCCGTATATATGCTTTACAAAAAGGTGAGTGAAAACAAGCACCATACAATAATGCCAAGCAGTTTAAGACTAGTGGGACGTGGCGGTGATTCAGCTCAAAAACGGAATACAATCGAGGTTCGTTTGTATGGGGATCACGCGGTAAGTTGATACCATCAGGGCATGCTTAACCATTGGAAGGATTTCTACTATGGCCTCATAGGGATAGGGACACCTTCAAAGGAATTCAGATTACTCTTTGATACGGGTTCAACGGTCCTGTGGGTTCATAATCGGAATGCTCAGCATGATTTGCGGCCGTTTAAGAATATATTTGACCCAAAGCGATCGTCGAGCTTTGTGGACGATAAAACAGGATTTACAGCAATATATTCCAATTTCGCAGTTCGTGGTTTTGTCGGAACAGATATTTTCAAGGTAATCATGGATAAATATTGAAGAATTAAACCAATTAACAGCTTGGAGATCAATCATTTAAAGGAAAATTCAGCCCAGTCCTTCTTTTCAGAGGTGAACCAAGACAGTATGACTGGATTGACGGAATTCTTGGCCTAGGGCGTCGACAGGCTTACCCGGCGTTCAGAACAACGTTCTTAGACCAGCTGCTTGAACAAGGTTTGATTTCTCGTCGTACTTTCGCATTTGTGTTCTGCAAGTGAGTTCCTGGTACTTTAGTAGTGGCAAACCTATCAACAAAAAATTACTGGAGGAAGTTTTTTTTAGATAAAAAGAGCATTCTTTTGTAGGGTAAGCGCAAAACCTCGCGATAGGGTAAGCTTTGATTATCAGATGTTTGGGAACCCGTTAAAGTAACTAATGCAGTATGCCATTGTGACAAAACCGGCCGGTTGACATCGTATCTAGGTTGTTCATTGAAGTCAATGAAACCAAGAATACTACTCGGTATATATATATATATATATATATATACCGAGTAGTATTCTTGGTTTCATTGACTTCAATGAACAACCTATTCGTACTTAAATTATCTTGGCTTTAGAGATAGATCGTGCTCACATCATGTTGACCTGTGCATCCGCTCTGTTCTTCGCTGTAAGTCGGAAAATTTATGGGCTTTCGGACGTTAAGACTTTGAGTTGGATGCAGGCAGAAGCAGGTGAAAATAACGAATAAGGATGGCGCTGTTGTGGAATATACAGCTAGTCCGGTTTTTTGACGTAGATGCGAGCCGTGTTTTGCGTCCATACTCAAATTGCTCTGATAAAGTGACAACAAATATCTCACTGAGGTAGATCTCTTCATCCGCGTCTAGCTATCATCTATGTTTTGAGTATCACATAGCTCTAAACTCCGGATTTCCTGGCTACACCTATTCAAGATAAATGTCTTAGCAATAGCTCCTTGTAGAATGATGGCGTGGGTAGATACGCTGCAACAGTGGGGGGTGATGAAATTCAGTATATTATCGTCTTACCAACAGGAAGTGTGGCGTCCGTTAAAGAGTGCTGGTTTGGTAAAGAACACGAAAATGTCTAAATGACTCATGCATAGGGGTATGTACTTGGTTTGCGCAGCCGAAAAGACCCACATCTACCCTAGTAGATGTATTTACCAACTGGATCTGAACATTGTTGAAAGACCAATTTTCTCGTGCACAAAAATGAGTATCTTTCTATAAACACCACCTCAAGATTCCCCCCAAACTGGTGTTTTGGAGAACGCAGGTTTCTGCCATAGCAAGCAATGTTTTTATCTGTTCTCAAAAACTAGAGGAACTCCCCAAGAACTTTCAGACTCTTCGTGGTATTTGGAAAGCATAGGGGCCCACCTACCTATCCAAACAAACTTCATGCTTCGTAGAACTTAACCAGGTGTCTAAATGTTCCAAGTGCTTTGTAATTTTCTTTGATGGTTAATTATCTGTACACGGACATGAAATACTTTCCCTTGGTCTAATGGATCCAAGGAGTAGAATACAGTTGACACCAGTGGTAACTATCGCCACATTTGATTCTACTTCCGGTTTAGAATCGTGGAATTCGTTAATACGTCGGGTCAATTAGAAAGCCTAATTCCGCTACCGCTGATTTGACTACTTATCAAATACCACCACTCTGGACTTCGAAAAAAGGATAGGCAGACGATACAGTTGTGTACGTTAGAATACATGTGATGGATTTCAATCCGTTTAGTGTATAGGACCGGCCTGATCATTTGTCTTGAAGACTCGCCAAATCTAGCGATTTATCAAACTTCAATGACAAAACCAGAATATACGAGACCGCTAAATATGAGGAAGAATCAAACTTTCAGGCTTTTCAACATTGTAAATGATTTAGGAGTTTGGGTAAGATGGCTCAGGGTGCGAATTTACTGATCGGAAGGTCCATGGTTCGAACCCGAACTCTGGCTCTTGCCTTTTCATGCCTAGGCTGGGGAAACCCTGCAGTATCTCAGCCCTTGTGCCTCCTTCCGGTGGCACGGCAGTTAGGCACCGAAGGGCTGCAACGGTTGAACGAATAATATGTTCATCTGATGAGGCTCTTATGCAGGTGGCTCGTCGAATCCATCTCGTTCAGAAATAAAAGCGAATACCTGATCACGTCCTGAAATTCATAAGATTATATAAATCGTGTTGACCATTCTGATTGCAGTTTTTTTTACCACAGACACCCACTAAAAACAGGCGCTGTCATTTTCGGAGAAATCACAAAGGACCACATTCCCGGTGAAGTGAAGTATGTGAAACCCTCGAAAACCGAGACGTTTCCGAACCACTGGGTCATTCCAATCGATTGGTAAGCTAAAATGTGCTAACAGTGTGGAGTCCTTGTTTTGTTCAACAAATACTCCATGTTCGTTTTCCATAACTCATACGAGATTCTTGCCACTCACACCTTGTGGGTAGCTGGATATTGCTACTTATTCATCCAACAAGTGTATCCATTTTCAATGTCAGTTTTCAAATTCAGAACCCCACTAGTAATCGGGAAATAGGGTTCTCCAAGATATACTACTTTTTGAGTTCTCATAAATTTTCTATGTTCAGTAAGTAATAAGTTATTTTGAGTTCGACATGGTTCACTAGTTAAGACGCAGACTTCCTGATGTCAAGGTTCCTGGTTCGAACCCGACCCCTGTATTTCGACTACTCCTGTCTAGACTCGGAGATCCTGGCTTCCTCCGAGTGACATGGCAGCTAGGTACAGAAGAGTTATTACAACTGAGCAAAATATTATTAAATAGCACCTGCTTCGGACGAAAGGAAACCGTTTATACTGTGCTGTTAGTTGAATCACCAAAAGCATAAAATATCAGCCTATGGTCTCACATGGTACTTATGAACATCTTACATCTGGATTTTACTTTCGTGAAGTCCATGGTCCATACAAGCACCATGCTCATACAGAGATTGCCCTGAGTGTATCTGCAACCCATTTTAATCTTTTAACATGTTTAGGTTTGATTAAATGGTTAGGTTTCATTACCGGCTAAAGCAGTTCCGTTCGCAATAGTTTGGAATCATTCGCCATGTACAGTCGCGTAAAAATTACTGATTTTGTTGGACTTGACATCCACATGAACTGGTTACAAATGAGTAACCTTCCAAATCAAGATGGATTTTCGGTACATCCTTAGTCTGCCATTTCGCTGCCAAAGCCTAAGTACAATGTAGATTCCAGAAGGGTGAGTAAATTTTAGCCGTACTGTCAACTACATAAACAGATTATGCAGGCAGACTGGAGCTCTAGACCGTCTTAGGTCTAATCATACCGGGCTTTTTGTATTGCCATCACTGTTTGATGCTCATGGTAAGTGAAGACACAGTCCTTACTCTAATAAATTTAAAAGTTAATAAGAAACGCAGTGATTTTAGTTTGGAAAACGATATGGGGAAAAGCACTATCCGGAGCACCTAGGAGAGCTGGACTGGCCAGCTCAATGCGTAAGCAGTAAATTCGACCTGACTGCATAACTTTGGATGAAGATTAGAGAAAGGCAGGGTGAGTAGAAACATACTACTTACTGCTTACTAGCGCCGAATAATATGCCGGCATATTTTCATCAGAATATTTGTACCCATATAGATGCTGCAAGAAAAAATGGCTTCCAGAGGTTATTCGTCTCAGTCCACTTCCAGAAAGAAAGTTTAAATGCAGTTAACACTCAGTGGTGATGACGCCAGGAATCGAATCCATCTTTGTATAGGAAGTGCAATGCAATGTACCTTGCCCGAAGCCGATCTACCGTATTTGTGGCACGATTGCCAATAACGCATGTCGAAGAGAGCATCCCAGAACTGCCTACCTTGTACGGTACAGTCAAACATGGGTGGACGTATGGGAGCACGCAAATAAATATAACAGAGCGTCAGCGAAATACACTCATTTGCAAACTAATTTGGTTTTTCAAGAGACTCACCTGGAACCCAGCTGAATCTCTCGGTTGTGATGTATCCAGGCAGAACAGAGCTTCAGCTATCCACACGTACAGCGGAGCATCCGCCACGTGGATTTTCAGACAAAAACATCCGTTAGAAAACACATTTTGACCACAGTCCGTTTCAGTAAGCATGACTAATTCCAGGTAGTCGTCCATCAGAATGTGATCTTTCTCCTACGCCTGACTATGGATCTTGCGGCTGAACGTCTTAATTTATTAGTTACTTTTTATTTACTTATTTAAATTCTAGAGAAACGGTTGCATCGATCGATCTACACTGTTAGAACGCCTACCGGCCAATCCACTAACTTCCATGCTAAACGTGGCCCAAATTCGTGACGAAAGACATCCCTCGCGAATCCCGCACCCACAATCCTAACGTATATGTAGTGTTGATTCCGTTTCCACACTGCCAGTCCGATCCCATGCCAACTAGCCGCCATACAGGAGAATTTTTTCTGGTCCCTTGTGAATTACTTCATGGCAATACCCAGCTGAATAAGTCCTCAGAAAAGTACACGAGATATGTCTTTCTCTTTGAAGAAATTTACACAAGTTTCCAAATATTTTGCGGTTTTCAACAACCACGCGGACGGGTGTGAGAACAAAGCAATTGCTGAAGAGGGTCTACCCCGGCCCCTCCCTACAGCTAAAAATAATTCCTCCATATCTGGGATTTATCTGTCTACATCACACCCTGCGTGATTTCAACGAGACGTCAAGTTTTACCATGCACTCTTGTTTTAGCATTGCCCTGTCGACTGACGAGACATTGGCCACTGGACTTAACGCACTTGTGGACACAGGAACGCCAATTACATATCTGCCAGCTGATGCAACAACCCAACTGTACGCCCTAATCGGGGTTACCAAATATGGCAACAGAAATGTGGTTGCTTGTGATCGGATCCCCTCGATGCCAACGTTGCGATTCAATTTCGGAGGTTTCGAGTTACTTCTGGAACCCCGACAATATATCTTCGTTGTGAGTTTTTCGAATACAGGATGGTTTCTTTGTTCGTGTGGCAACAGTCATTAAAACGCACCATACACAGCATATTCGTTCACATCCTGTGTGATAAGAAAAGACCATTGAGTGGTGCCATAAATTAGAGGATTGTAAACAACACGGTCGTTCTCATAAGGGAAACTACTCACAAGGTTGCTGAAAACTCTTCGACAGCCCAAGACCGGTTTCATCCTTCTTGGGGCTCATCAGGTAGGCGTAGTCCCCGAGTTTCCCGAGTTTATGTTCTACTTGAACCCAAACTGGACTGTTTTTGAGAAAAACATTCATTTGCAAATCAGTTGTAGAATATCATAAACGAGAGATTCAGTTGAGTCTCGTGAAAACCAAATTGATTTCCAACTGAGTGTATTTCTCGAAAACAGTACAATTTGGGTTCAAGTAGAACATAAAGTTGACGGAAATTCGCGGACTGCGCCCACCTGATGAGTCCCAAGAAGGGCGAAACTGGTCGTGGGCTGTCAAAGAGTTTCCAGCAACCTTGTGAGTAGCTTCCTTTATGAAAATATACTGCGATATCTCGAATATCTTGCCAACTGAATCATGAGGCGGCCTGTGTGCAGCACATTCAGTTGTAGAATACCATAAACGAGAGATTCAGTTGAGTCCCTCGTAGAAACCAAATTGATTGGTAAATGGGTGTATTTCTCGAGAACATGGTCGTTTATTTTGAAGACCGATCAGTTTGTTAGGCAACTACTAGCAGAAGTCTATCGGAGAAGAAGCAAACACTTGTCGTATCACGTGACTCTGAAAGCTTCGATGGTCTCGAAGGTTCCCTATTCAATTTTGCAGAACCCCATGAGGAATGCAGGCCACACGATTGTTTTGCGTACCAATGTGAACGTTTCTGACATGTAGTCAATTATTCGTTTAAATATATGAAAGAAGATGCAGGCTGCAGAACGCATCCAGTCTATTCCAGATGTCTTACTCGGTGCACTGACATACGAACTCTAATGGTGTCAACGCTAACGCCGAACAAATCTCTTTCTCATGATAAGGCCACTTCATATTCCGTCTGGGACGATATTCAGAATACTTTGGTATTGCTCTGCTTCTGAGATCGATCCGAAGGCTTCGAAAGTTCAACAGCTTCCTTTTCGGGCTCATTAGGTGAGCAAATGATTCTGTTGTTGGCGTGAATTTAGTCTGCAGATAAATACCCGGCCCCTTACAATTTTCTGTCCCCTGGAAAAATCAGATTATTGGAAACTCAGAAGCTCCGCCCATTCAATGGGGGACCAAGAGGGAGGAAACCGGTGTTAAGTTGTTGAGATGGACTAGTCAACCTTACGTTGGCTGTCTTACTTGATGTTTTGTTACGATTGACTAAACCGATTTGAACATTTTTATATTCACAGATTCACTCACAAGTATTTGGGCTTTTGTGGTGCTGGTCTCAAATCCATAGCGCTTCGGCATGTAAAGACTCTATCAGTTTTATCCTGAATGCTCACTTGGGCACTGCAAAGCGTTTGATGATGAGATCGCGTGGACACTGTAACTCACACGTCGATTTACTGGACTGACGCACCATGAGAATATTTTTAACCACATTATAATTGGCGCGCATCCATTTTTTAGAATCTGTGCGATTCATGGGAAAACATCTTCAGTGGGTTTAACGAACTTTCCCCTAGGGACTAGGATGAACCGCATCGCGAATTTCTACACCAAAAAGAAAAAAATGTTCACTTGTAAATAAATATTTCAAACAGCGAAACATCCAACATCAGCTGGATTTGACTTTCCGTTATTTACTTTCTCCAAAATACACGGCCGCGAATACTACTAATGCAAAGTGATAGGCATGTGTATTGTTTTCTAAGAGGACAGCAACAAAATATTCCTACTATCCAGTCGAAATTGTGCAAAAAGCCCATCTATCTCAATGGTGTATTCTACGTTTATTAACTTGTTGCTCTTCTGTTTGAACGTAAAATACTACTCATGAGGTTCCTGAAAACTCCTCGACTGCTCACGACAGGTTTTGCCCTTCGTGAGCTGCTTCATTTAGGCGTAGTTCCCGTGTTTCTCTCGACCTTATGTTCTGCGTGAGCCAGAATTTAGAGAATTCGTCAAATGCTCTCATTTGCACAGTAATTTGGTTTTGAAATAAGACTCGTATGAATCCAGCCGAATCTCCCGTTTGAAATGATCTGCTTCAACAAAATTTTAGTCGGTTGTTTTTGTCTTCTTGCATTCTTTCGACCTGTTCTTGATATTACCGGGAGAAAATTGGTATAGACATGTGTTTAACTTCGACGCCTATCAACATGATTCTTCCCGTGTGTAAGAAGTAATGTGTTGCATTTTGTGTGCAAGTCCCCACACACGTCCCATTGATGCAGATGTCACGTGTTTAGGATAACTGGACAACCAATGAACGGTTGGGTTGTCGACCTAACTTGTCATTGGTTCCCACAAGGTATGTGAGTATTGGTAATTGATCAGGATACCGTTAATATGCTCGCAAAGCTTCGCAGTTTTATTGCAGACGTTTTGTCTCCATTCGAGGAAACATCACCAGCACATCGGGAGTAAACTGTAGAGGAAAATTTGACTTTGGGACATCCCGGCTGTTCGAATCCAAACAGGACTTAACTGTGAGGCAAAACGGTATTCAGATTTCCGAAAAAATACTATCTCCGATGTAAGGTAGCGGGATCGAAAGTGCCGAAATTATCCGGTTACTTTTGAAAGGTTCGGTATCCACCCAGTCAGTCTAATGGTCGAATTCTCGGATCCGGGACGAAGTGATCTCTTTGGAGAGGGCATTCCCATTTGGAATATATATATATATATAGGGGATGCCTTCTATCTTAACACGGATTTATAGGTCCGCACGCAAGAAATCACGTCGAGTGGCAAATCAACCATTGGAGTGTTGCAGGCAAATTCATCAGAACACACCTAGCCGTAGTGCTACCACCTAAAACGAACAGTGTACAGATACGGCAGGCGCCTAAAAGACAAATTTCAGTGGGGAAAAAAAACTTTTCGAATCAGCAGATTGGATATTCATTCATCGGGCGCAACCAGAAACAGCCACCAGTCAAGGCCAAAAGAGAATTTGGTTTACGCAAGTGGGCACAGATTACACCAGACCCCCTAGGCTAACGACGCTTGTTACATATCTCTTGATCTGATACGGGATGGGTTCACATCAACAATGAAACGTGTTGACCCTACAGAATGCGGTCACTCAGTGCACACATATCCACCCACAACTGGCCTCAATTCATACGTGCATTGGTTCCTGTTTACCAGACCAAGTCGACAGGACCAGGATGACATGGATGAATCACACGCACCTGTCACAAACAGGGCAGTGTCACCCAAATGTTTGTTTGTTTAATTTATTTCCATCTAGAAAGCGGGAAGGACTTACGGTTGGGTAAATAAGTGGAGAAATCGCACAAGTTGGGTAGTTAAACTGGCTACTTGGTAGATCTTGGTCTACGTTTCAGTGACCGGCGAGTTGTGCTACATTCTGTCCAAGTGCGAGTTAACCACACGCTAGCTCAAAGCCATTCGGCCATAAACGGCTTCATCTTTGTTTCAGAAGAGCTTGGTAAACAATCGGTAGTTTTTTGGGCAACGTTTCGCTTTTGACACAAAAGCTTCATCAGGCCAAGTGAACAGGTCACCAAATTGGCCGGGTTATAAGACAGACGGGGAACCAATCAGTAAGTCCTCTTCACACTAGATCAGTGTTGAGTGTGAGCTCTTGTCGGCTAGTGTGAGTGCCAAAATCTTGAATTGATGGGTTGGAGGGGTTCCAAATTAGTTCCGATCGCTTTTCGTTCCTTAATCTTCCAATTCAGGGTGCTTCACTTGATGATTCACCTCGGGTGCCGCTGTTAGATTTTCCCTGGTCTTTGTGGGGTTGTGAGTGCTCCGACAATTTAATTTGAAAGGGGTTGAGGTCAAGTGGATTTCGGATGATAACCGCTTCATCTTTGACTATTCACCTGGAATTTACAAGTCCAAATCCTCCTGAAATTTTCTGTGAGACGTCCACCGGGGATGATTCCCAACATAGATGACGCAGTTGCACGATACTTCCCAGCTTTTCAACGCAGATTGACTTCCGTTACAAGACGTACGCTCAGCCGAACATTTTCGAATCCCCTCGCGCCATCAACAACGAAATTCTTTCATTCTATTCAAGTACTTCTAAGTACAAAGTATTCTCCAGTGGCTGACATACATGGCGTACTTTGAATATTATGTGGTCTAGAAAAACCATTACTGAATTCACGCAACAACCAGAAGTTCTTCAACCTCACTCGCAATAAGTTTTTACAGATCCTCATAATCACTAAACTTGTCAGGATTTTTTCTCATAATTTGATCACAAAACTACGTCCAATAGGCTCCAACTTGCACTCTCAATAGCAGGCGATTTACACGCATTGTTTTGCTCCATCAGTCCATTGAAATCCCCGCAAATTTAATAAGCCTGAAAAATCGTATTTGAAAGCGTTCGCTTTGGCTCAACCAGCCTGATGCTTTCATTAAGTATATGTGGTAACGTTCGATGATGGGTTTGGAAGGCTAAGAGTTCATTCATGGCCGTTCCATTCTCAGAAGACATTGTGAAACCACCTACTGGTCCCTGGTACCTTCAAACTCCTGGTGCGAACGTTTTGCTTCTAGGATTCCAACCTTGACCCAACTGTTCCAGATCCTTGTATGGTCCTTATACGGAGACCATACAGACCGCCCAGTCGAGTTCCTCTGTTACTTCAGTTCATATTTAATCCACTCCTAATCAGCTGACCACTGCGAATCAGAGTAGCCGTGATTGAATCTTGCCATCTAGCCTTAAATCCAAGGTGTTTAGAAAAAATTCAAGAAACGTGTTGACACGTGGAACAGTAGACCTCACATTCACATGAGCCTCGAACCGTTCTATCTAAGTGGAAATTCTAAAAAGCAAGGTACCCAGATACTCAGAACAATATTTGTGAACCTGTATTTTGAGCATTCAAATATATCCCTATAGAATAATTGTACCACCTGCCTTTCAGTCAGGCACTGAGGATACACCACTCTGTTGGCCAACTATTTGGCCTTTGTTGCCAGCATCTCCTTTCGAAATGATACTGGGTCTTCAATTTCTGACACACTTCCACACCGTGTTTGACGTGGACCAGGACCAAGTTGGGTTCTTTGACCCACGTCTGTTGGAAACCAGCGGCACGGAAGCCACAGTATCTGCAACATGAAATTGGCATTTTTCCTTCAGTGACATTGTGATTTTGTGGTCCTCATCACTTGAGTATCGTCACCATTCTATTATAATGATCTTGATAAGCATATCGTGTGTGTCACCTATATACAAAACAATCAACAGATTTGTGTCTACTAAACACAACTTCAGACAGCCTGGACCTGTCCATCAGTTGACAGAGTGAGAACATTTGCAATGAGCTGACACGCAAATTCCGACCCAATCATGATTCTGTTGTGTACACTAATGGCTTCCTAAAGGAGTTTCTCCATTTTTCCCGAAGATGACAGTTTGCGTGAACCACATAGGTGGTCTTCATAAGGGAGCGTATAGAGTACCCAGTAAAATAACCAATTAGGGCGGACGACTTTGATAACACGATGCGGAAGATTTAGGAAGAACCAATAAGCAACCAGAGAATCAGAGTCATGGTTGTTCAACCGTTTTAGAGCTAATGTTACGCTAAGCTTAGCTATACAATCGCAAGTGTGAGGGGAATAGACTCCAACCCAGCAGGGCACGGGCGATCTCACCTCTAGCAGTGACGAGAATTTTGTAGTGAAATTGGCGAAATTGGGAAAAAGCCTAAGAGTAGCGAGAAATCCACGTCTGAAGCTGTTTGGAGATCCCTTTCACGGAACAGTTTGCGGCACGGGTCAAGAGCGATAACCTTATCCAATGATCTGAGCATGTAGGTATGCAGTGCTCATTGGTTCACATGGAAGTTCATTCGTCTTTTGAGTGAGTAGTCCAGCTGGTGACAAGAAAAGGGATTTCATATTGAGTTACTAGTTACCAACATTTTTCCACGGTTGAGTCACTGCCAAAAGAGTTCTTAGTCGATAAGGTGTGAGAGTACTATGCAGCGGTCCCAGTTTTAGACATCAAGTGACGATGGAAGCAATCAACCCTTGAAGATGAGTGAATTTTTAATCCGTGGTTCGAAGATGACAAAGTTGCCGCGAAAGTTTGGGACGAGACTATTCCATGAAGTCTACGGTCTTATTTCTCGTCCGGCTCATCAACTGCACCGTTTTCGTATAGTTGATCCTCAGTGCCTGCATCGGTGGCCGAATTATTGCGCACCACGGTAAAATAACGGCATAAAACTTTCCTCAGAGACTAAACTGAAGTCTAGGGTTAATACGTTGTTTTCTTGCCGACCGCAGCACAGTGGGCCGAATCTCCACAGTTCGTTTGAAGATGTCTGTACTGTCGAAGGCATTAGATACCTGCTTGTAGTGAGCCGTACATGAGTACGGCTCCTATCCCTCAGGTGCAACAGAGTGCGAATTGTCATAGATGCTCAGGTTTCTGACGAAGCAGTAAAAATTCAATCTTCTGACAACAACATGAGTCTATTCGATTTCGTGCGTTCCCAAGTGTTGACCTGCTACACTTGGACAATCTGTCTAAGTGTGTAAACAAACTCGTTTTTGCTGTACTAGTTTGTCCAAAAGTATATATTACACTTTCATTTCTGTTGTCATCTGGTTAGCAGGAAATCACTAGCATATTCATCGGACAACTTAGTACTTCAGCTCTGTCAAGAGTAGTGCCAAAACATCTAAACGACAAAATGGTGATCACAGTTGGTCCTCAAGCGCATCCATTCGATTTGGTGGAGATAAAACTTGCTGATAATATTACACGAGGATTAGCACGTAATGAACCGTTCAGACACCCAGAACAGAAAATCCGGGGTGGCAGACACTCAGAGTCCATGCTGCGATGAAGGAGTCCAGAAAACCTCGTTCCCTTCAGCGTGTATTATGGTCTACGCGCCAATCGGTGAAAATACGTGTCCACGTGAGTCAGCGACAAACCTGCGTGGATGTCGTCACGCACCGTGTCTGACGGTACACCCGTCTCCGACAAAAAATGGAGGCTGATAGGTTCGTAAACAGTGAAAACGACTCACTTTGCACCTATAAAATTTCTAGAGATGGCTGCTGCGTTCAACCGCACATTTATTTGTACCTATAGCACAATTAGCGTCAGCTGCCGTTTGTCTTATTAGCCTTGTCCGGATGGTGCGTCACACATAGTTCGTTAGGAACACAGCGTAAACTACAGAACCACTGTAAATGCGTAATCCATCGTTTCTGTCAGGCCACCATACGATCAAGGGGGGGACTACTGGGTCGAGAGTTGCCCTACGGGAGTCTAATATCGACTGACTAGGAGACTGCTATCCACCTTCAAAACCTGGACTTGATAAGTAGTTGTCTTGCCAGTCGCAACACATCGGTTTGGGCTTCGAAGCACATTCGCAAAAACTCGTAACGTTCACAACAGTCAGTGGCATGGTTGAACCGTACAAGGAAACGAAAGGCTCCCATTAACCAGAAAAAGGTGGGTGTGAATAGATCCAGTAGGTTCTGCTAGGTTCCAAACGAATGGAAGGCCAAAGGCTCGGTACAGTGGATTGTCACTTCTGATGTAGATGAAAAGAAGCGGACAGGAGCCCACTTATGGTGGTTTTCAACTGGGTTGGTAGCCGTGAGCTCTTAAGATCATAGTAAGCGCTTACTTGCAGGGGGTAGGCCTTTACGACATGGAAATACAACAAAATGACCATAAACGGTAACCCCTATGATGAGCCTGCAGTGGACGGAGAGATTCGACAGCATGCAATCTTGGCTGTCCAGTGATCATACTCACCCGTGGCAAGCTGGTCAGCGGTACATTACGTTCTCCTCTGGTTTTCCAGGGAGTAAGAGACTAACAAAAGCACAAATGAACAGCGGCTAACCACAGTAACTAAGATAAAAAGAGGCGTTTTACCCAGGCAAACCCATGACCTGTTATAATAACATCGTATCTTTTGGAGCATTTACTTATTCTGGTGCCAACGCTACCAACCACTCAACTTTGTGACAAGTTTCTACCCGAAAAACTACAATCGTGATTCACTGGCGTTCTTGTGGCTTACCTGCACAGGGTAATGACCTCGCACAAGCTGATCGCCGTGAACGTTCTATGCATTGAAGCTTCACAATGAGCTTCCTAAGAATCTACGCTCTAACCCCTCCTTCGTGTGACTGATAGATAACATGTATATCTTTGTGATGTACAGCTCATAAGGTTGCTGAAAATCCATCGACAGCCCACGACCGGTTTCGCCCAATTTGGGGCTCATCAGGCAAGCGTAGTCTCCGGTTTCCGTCAACCTTATGTTCTACTTGAAACCAAATTGCACGAAATTAGCGAATATACACTCATTTGCAAACCAATCTGGTTCTTTCGAGAGACTCACCTGGAACCCAGCTGAATCTCCCGTTACTTCATGGTGTTCTCAGGCAAGTGAGTGTGCTGCATGCACCAGGCAGCCTCATGTTTCAGTCGCCACAACATTACAAATATCGCGATTCATGTATATATTTCTATTGTAATCTACTACTCATAAGGGTGCTGAAAATCCATCCACAGCCCACGACAGGTTTCGCCCTTCTTCGGGCTCATCACGTAGGCGCAGTCCCCGGGTTTCCGTCAACCGCATGTTCTACTTCAAACAAAAAAATTCCACCAAATTAGCCAATAGACACTCACTCATTCGCAAACTAATTCGGTTCTTCGTGAAAACCAGATTGATTTGCAAAAATCTGCATTACCTATAGTACTCCGCTTCACCGCGAATGTTCATCAAACGTGTACAAACCGTCACTCACCCAGTAACGTGCATGGGTTTCCACAAATTCAGCAACGTCAACGTCCTTCCATGTGTTCCTCCAAATTCATCATTTTAATCTTGACCGTGACCGTAAGGAGAAAACTATGGGATGATTCCACTTCGCTGAAGAGCATCAAAGACGGTACAACGAAGATACACTGGTGTGCACTTCACATCATCTATAAAAGTCTATATAAAACCGGTCTGGTCACCTTGCAATCATTAGGCTTTCTGGAGCGCAGTGAACAAGTCGTAAATCTCGAGGACCCACTGTCCATGCGGCAGTTTGCTTCTTCCTGAGTGGAGTTCTCCTGGGTTCTTTATCACCCAGTTATTGGCAATTTAAGCTGGATTCGATCAGAGTGGAGCCAAGAACGGCTGCAATCCATTACAAGTCCATTTTAGATCCTATTGATGCGTTCATGATCACAGCTGCAGATGAACTTGTGAATTTAATGACTTTGGAAATGTAGTTGGTGATCGTGTGGATATCTTTGCACTCCGAGTTGCAGCAGTGCATGTGGTAAAAGCCCTGGCCACCAGTGTGTGGGACGTCAACATAAAAGTAACGCTTCGGTGACCCACAGTAGCTGTTTGACAGATGGTGAATAGGAGAACAGTTCTAACGCAACCAGTAAGTCCACCCGTTCAAGTGGGTGCGATTGAACAGTTGAGACTTACAGTGCGTGTGACGGGGCATCAGGCGGCTCGTACAATCCAGGAGACGCATCCTAGGCACGCACATTTGACTAGCAAGTCCTTGCAATCATTCATCTAGGTCTGCACAACGATGGTCACAGACAACCAAACATAACAACGTTGTAGATTTAATAATGCGGATTCTTCAAGAGATTAAGACGGGACTCTACTGGCACACTGTAACAGACCCAATGGTGTCCGACCCGGATGGATTGTTACATCTGCATGGCGTTCTGTAGTTAACCATGATTTCGTCCGCACGATGATGATCACTAAAAGTCCCTTTTAAAACCATTCTGGGATTAGTTATCGGATAACGTCAGAAGTGCCAAACATTCACGTTGCACTTATAGACTGAGAAACAGACGGGATCGCTTTGAAAGATGCAGTAGAGTTGAAACTGGTAAACCACTATTCTCAAACTGTGCGGACATTCAGTTTGGAAATCCCGGTCAGCAGTCGATCAAATTCAAACAAAGATCGAAAGCGACTAAAGAATCAGACAACATGGATAATTCAGTGTCAGAAACTTCTTGATACTTTTTCATGGTAATAGGGATCTACAGGTTTCCCCATAAGAATGAAATTTTTCGTTCTTCGAAAGCAAGGTGGAAATATTCTTGTTCTTGAACTCGCATCGTGTGTAGAAAACGGGTTACTGAATTCGTTAGTGAAAATCTGTTGCTCCATAGTTCATCACATTACCATATTTCATAAGAATCGATGGTCTTGTAAGTATGTCACAACTCACTGTTTCTAGAAACTGAGGGACACAAAACAAAGCCCATCGATATTACCCCATACACACACAGCTGCACAAAGTGGTCGTTCGAAAACCGTCCGCTTGACGGATGTACCCTGGCTTGGATATTTTCACCGAATTTCGAGCCAAGCGGCAAGGTAGAGATTAAGCGAATGTCAGTGAATGGGTGCAATGAATAGCTTGGGATCTATAATCTCGATTAGATAAGATTCATAGAAAATTTACTAGCAATGGCGGAGCCTTTCTGAAACGGACTCTTTGTTATGGAGGCACTTCATCATAGCGAAAAGTTGGACAGGTGGATGTGTGTAAAACATCCTTGCTTTTTATAAAACGACTGACACACTGGATCCCGGTAATGAAATCAAAGGTACCAACACCTTATAATTTGACAGGCTTGCGTACAAACCTTGAAGAATAAGACGATGTTATTTTTCCACGTTGTACTGTCTGTATGACGATTCAGAACAAAAGTTGTGGGGCATAAACTCACTACAGCTACCACTATTCACTGAGCCCCAACTGGCGAATTCAGCAAATGTTCGTCAACCTCACATGGAACTGCCAAATCACTGATTATCCATCGATAGATTTCAACGATTTGTGTGTATTAGTCCCTCAACGACTGGAAGTATATTCATTCAAACAGCAGATGAGTTATGTATAAAGTAAATGATGTGCAACACAAGCATCAATGGGTCTTGTCTCTGATTTGTCATGTTCCACCCGTTGAGGATAATCCCTTCGGTTGATTTCCAGCAGGAATTGACAGTTGTATCGATAGTCTTTTTCGTGTTTTTCAGATTCCAAGTCTCTCTGTGCTGATGATGATGTG